GCCATTCTATACATCTGTAGGGCACCAGGTTGGAGAATGCTACCACTGGACAATGAAAGAGGTTCCCAGTGCCACCTTCTTAACTGTCCCTACTGTAAACCCATGCTTCTAAATTTCAGTTCACTTAGGCAACCCAAAATGATGAAATAGTCAATTGTATTGAATACGGTTGCCAGCAGAACTGAAATGCACATTCTGCTTCCACAGTTCTATGGTGACCAAAGCTATTTTCATTCTCATACTAGGTATGAAGTGAGACAGAAACGGCTTTAAATTTTAGTATAATTTGAGAAAGATCTGGAGTTAGTTATTATTATGTTTCCCAGTTCTTACATATTATAAACATCCATGTGAAAAAGAAAGTACACCCTCTTTGAATTCTATGGTTTTAGGTATCAGGACATAATAAAAATCATCTGGTTCTTAGTGGGTAAGAAAATTAGGTAGATACAACCTCAGATAAACAACACATGACATATTACACCATGTCATGATTTATTTTACAAGGACAAGCCTAAAATGGAGAAACCATATGTGAAAAACTAAGTATACTTATGATTCGATAGTTTGTAGAACCACCCCTACAGTGGTACCTCGACTTATGAACTTAATCCGTTCCAGAAGATGGTAGTAACTCGAAATGTTCATAAGTCGAAGCACCATTTCCCATAGGAATGCATTGAAACGCGAATAATCCGGTCCGGCCGGAAAAAAAACACCAATTAAATTAAATTAAATTTAAAAACCCATTGCAAGACCCATTGGAAACATAATTAATCCATTCCGGCCAAAGGGGGGGGGGGAATCAAAATGCAAACAAACCCTGCAAGACCCATCAGAAATACAAAAAAAGCAAACAAACCCTACAAGACTCATCGGAAACATGAACCCCCCCAAAAACAAACAAAGACTGCAAGACCCATCACAGCACAGAGACATAACCCCCCAGCCCAAAACCATGCTGTAAAGCCCAACCAGAACAGGCGGTTTTTAAAAAGCAAAAAGCAGCACCTTACCAGGCAGTCCGAAGCATCCTCCGAACGCACACTTTCCAACCGCGGGTGCGAAAGAGCTAGAAAGAAGCAGCCTCTTCGCCACCAACCCTTAGCAGTTTGAATTCCCCGCCTTTTTTCCTCCTCTTTTTTTTTGATCGTAACTCAAAGCTCCGGTCACAAGCCAAAGCCAAATTTTGCAGCCGGAGTTGGTCGTAACTCGAACTGGTCATAGTTCGTAAGTCAAGGCACCACTGTAGAAGCGATAACCTATTTTTCAGACCTGCCAAGGACCAGCTGATTTTTATTATGTTTTATTATTATAAAGCCACAGAATTCAAAGAGGGCATACTTTCTTTTTCACGTGGATGTACCTAACTTGCAGTGGTGTCTTGTGGCAGATCAGCAGGATTTTAATACTAACTAGCTTGTATTAAAATCAGTAATGGTTTCTTCACTACATGGTATGGTTCAAATGCTAAACAAGATCCAAGCCACAAGGCTATCCATTAGGCAACTGATAATTTTTCCAGGTTGACTCATAACTTAGTTGGTGCAGGAATTTATTTTTATAGGAATAGGATTTTTTGGGAAGGGAATTCCTCTATGAAACAAGAGTATTAGAGCCACTTCTTTAACAAACACACATATAGATAAATCTTTAGAGGCTCACAGTATAGAGCCAGGGAGACAGAGAAACAGAAGCAATGTGCTTTTGTATTTGGCATATTTAGGCTTAGTTGCGGAAAAGGATTGTGACAAAGAAAAAAGAGGACATGGATGCCCATCTCAGAATCAATAGCAGGCACAGCAGTACAACTTCCATAGCCACTGTCTTAACTCTCACACTAATTCTGACAGTCATCATCGACTTGATTACATGAGACATTTTCATCAATATCTCATTCATGAAGAAACTATGCCAGTGTTCTCCAATTGGTCACTTAAGACATAATCTGCACTGTTCATTAGTGGTATCCTGGTTTTTAAAGAGCAGCCTCATGAATGTGAGAGAATTTCCAAATCAGTCTTCATATGCACAAATGGCATAACTGATTAGTCATAATGAACTCACAAATCTTTGTTCATATTAAGCATGGAATATGATAAAGCCCTGAATGCAGAAGTGCTTATGAACTTGTATACACAGTTGCACCCTTAAACCACTGCTTGTTCCAACTCATCAGTCGCTTAGTTCACTGAAAAATGTGTGTTTATCACCTTCATATGGCAGGAATCTTTTAACATGACAAAGCAAACTACTGCTGCCTGCACTTAGAATCGAATTTGTCTATACTTAATATGCAACCAGTGTCCTTACTGGTATATAACATATGTCAAATGTTTGTGTTGGAAACGCCTCTCAGCATTCTGTTCCTGGTTGTCAGGGTGAGATAGCTGAGGGGCAATCAAACACTGGTGACTTCTTCCCTTTCTTACAGGCTCTGTCCATTTTGTCTGGCACAGTGACCTTGGTAAGACAGCTGTACTTTTAAGTCAATGAAATCATGGCTGAGGTTGCATGATCCATCAGGAAACAGATGTATAGCAGCACATAAGAGAAAACAAAGTCTCCCCACAGCTATAAAATTATAGAAAGTCTAATTTTTGAAATACTAAAGGTTAGCTACACATCTTTAAATTAAAGATCAATTTACATTACTAAATGCAACCCTGATATGCAGTTCTGTTGAATATTTTTCTTGTAACAGAATAAAATATCATAGTATTATTGTAGAATTATTCTAGAACAAAAATATATATTGTGGCACAACTTTAAATCTAGGTTCATACACCAGAGCGCATTTCATCAGACAAAGCTAACAGAAAGACTATAGTGCATGAAAGCTTATATAATAATAAATGTGTTAGTCTTTAGGTTGGCCCAAGTCTGTTGTTTATTGTAAAGAATTCACTGTAGTCACTGTTCTACTCCATTTCAGAATACTTCTAACCAGTATGCACTGTGTTGAAAAATGCATTTCATTACAATACTTGCCAGACTAAAGAAATTAGGTTATTAAATAAATTCAGTTTCTCTATTAGAAACTTTATTCTGAAAAAATTCTATGGATTAAAAATGTTAAAGCAGCTTTCCAGATTAAAGATTAAAGATTAAATACACTTCTTGGGTTTGTGACTAGAACCAAAGTGCACAGTTGCCTTTCCAGAGTGTTATTTACATCACATTTTCTGGAAGTGAAGGGAGTTTGGGGTGGGTAATTTTTTGCTCCAACGGGCTAGAGAAAGTAGATTAAAACAGTCTGCTCAGTTCTGAAACTGTCATGCAAAGAGATATTCACTGGTGATAGTCACATAAACAAGAAATGTCCATTAATTTAAGTGATACAACACTTCTCTAGCCCTTTTCCTTTGCACAGGAAGCTACTGAGGGCAAAACAAGGAATAAAACAGAATGCATTCTGTCTACCAAGTAGATTCCATAACAACAATAATATATATTACATACAAGCCAGAAGCTGATAAAAGTCCAGAAAAGGATGCAAGGATTGTAGTTTACAAGAAAAGCCAGTAGTAACAAAGAGTGGGCAGCTACTTGAATTTGTCTGATCTAATGTAGGACAATTAATGAGCCTCTTTTCAAGTGTCTGGAGGCAAATTCTACTGCATTTCAAAGTAGAAATGGTTGTGCTTACTGTAAGCAAAAATAATGTGATAGTATAAGCACTTAGGATACATTCTCTTTCCACCTTCCCTTTTCCTAGTTCTCTTACCTTAAAAAAACACACAAAAACTGTACAGGCGGCTAGAATGAGAGCTTTTCTGGAACACTCCAGAAACTTTAAATGCATGCAGTTGCACCAGGTGCTTAATTCAGACAGAAAGCACTTTCTTATAACCTAGCAAAGCATACTACTCATATGTAACAGCAAATTATCATGCCTATTCCTAAAACTTTTGAGAGCTCCATGTACATCTAAATTTGTTCACTACATATGTCTAAAGCAGGCAACATCAGTGCAACATTAGTTATCACTATGGTAATCATGGTTGCTAGGGACAAGAGACAAACCACAAACAAAATATATCAAGCATCAAAACTCCACTTTCTAAAAGCCATTTCAATAAATTCAGTATGAATATACAGTACTATAATACTGTATTTTATCTCATAAGACACAGTATGGTGGTCTAAATCAATGGGTGTATAAGGGTAAAGCTGTATAAGGGTAACTTATACTGTTTAAGACTGGTGATATCATAAGCCACAGTGGTTTTTTGGAAATTAAAAAAATCTGATTCCCCCAGCACCACAAGATTCCAAAGCTTAATTGAGATTCCTTTCATCAAAGGGAAGCTGACGGAAGTCTCAGGTTCTGAGAGAGAGTCTTATTTTCAAAAATCACCAGTGCTAGTAAAATCATCCTACCAGTGTCAATTTTCAAAAATTAAAGACTCTTCCCAGTCCCTTGGGGAATCCTTAGGTCCTTTGGAGCAAGGAACTGGAAAGTTTTCTTAAAAACTGTCATGACTGATGGGATAACTGGTCTTATGTGTCTTCATTTAAAGTGATGGGATTTTAGCCAATACATGTCATCACCACCACCACTACCACCACCTTTATTTAAAGTGTCACCACACGAGCAGGTTAGATAGTCTATTATATATTTGCCTAGTGTCTTGATAGAAGGGAGACCTAAAATAAAAATTTTAAAATCATAGAATATTGACATGCAATAGGAGCTGAGAAGAGCAGAAATGGGATTTTCAGATTTTTCTGGACTACAAAGACATACTTCTCCAATGTATAAGTTATGCCTACCAATGCAAAGTATTATTACTCCTTTAAAAGCTGCAGATTCATTTGCAAAGGGTAACAATACTGAAGAAATTTGAAATACCTTGAAACCAAACCATTTACTGTTCCATAAAGCTTTTGTGGGCTACAGCCATGTAAATCTAACAAATTACAACCATTACAGACAAACAGTCTGAAAACAAACTATGTGGTATATTTACTAGCACTAAGCTCCAAAGGTATCTTACCTCACCAAATGCACCTCTGCCAATGACTTTTATGATTTCAAAGTCATCCCGATGAAGCTGTATTTCCTTCACCAACTGTGTAAATGGTTTTGCTGCAAGAAATAAAAAGAAATCACAAATTAAAGTAAACTGATTCTTACCATTAAGTCCAGAAAAGTTACTAACACCCCACCTATTTAGATTACTTCCTATTCTGGTAACTTGTAGGATATGGCCTGGCATAGAAAGGATAGGTTACTTACCTGTAATTGTAGTTCTTCAAGTGATTCTCTGTGAATTCACACACTGAGTTTATTCTGCACCTGCGCAATAATCTCCAGAAACTTTTAGAACTTAGTGACATGGAACAGCTCCACCCTCTCCCCTCAATAGGCACACTCCACAGCAACCCTCCTATCCATTGATGAGCCAATAGAGTAGCTTAATGGAAGAGCTGGAGGGAATGTGTGAATCCAAAGATGACAAGGAGAACTACACTTACAGGTAAGTCATCTGTCCTTCTTCACTGTGGTCTCTGTGAATCACACATTGGGTGACTAAAGCTGACTTGCTAGTGAGAGGAAAGTCATGTCGACAGAGACAACAGCTCTTTCAAAGGAGACATCCAGCTTAGCCCAGATGTCAAGTCTATAATGCTTCATGCAGGTTAGAAACTGCAACCATGTGAGTCACAAGGCCTAAAGAGGTCTAGAAGATGGATGCCTCTTAACAACACAGTGGAGGCTGCAACTACCTTCATGGAATTACTGTGAAGAGTGTTTGGAAACAGCAAGTATGACCACGCCCATGATCCATTTGAACAGTCACTGAAGTGAGATGGACTGACCGCATTTGGGGCCTTGATGACAGGCAAACAGAAATAGGTACAGCAGGTGCCCTTACCCCCTCGTCATGAAGGTGTCCCTATGGAGTGTTTTCCTGTGCCTACCAATGAGCACTACCTTTTGCGCTTCCTGTTTCTCTGGGTAGCAAAACCGTCCACTCAAAGCATTCCACACTACCTCCTGAGGCTATGTTGGGAGAGTTGTCGTTCATGGGACTGCTGCTTTTGCTAACTCGTGAATCCACCAGAGAGTTGTCCTGCTCCACCACATGGATGGACAGGGGGAAACATGCTTCCATGATATCACTAATCTTTTAACTGAAGAGACTTTTCTCATCAAAGAAGAGATCCTCGACTCACATTCAGGAGTCCTCAGAAATCCAAAATGACCTTAGCTACACACATTGTCTGCACGTGATTGCTGAAGTTATAGTCTCTGCCATGCCACCAGTGGAATGGCATGCTGAACAGATCTCATGGACCACCAAAGAAAGAGTGTCCTGCTGGAAGGTAGCACCAATGTCTTATTATCATCAGTTAAGCAGTTGAGGAGCAACTGGAGTCTGTCTCGCAAGAACTGATGGTAGGTGGCCATAGCAGCCTGATAACTGCTATCTAGATAACCAATCCCACTGTAAAATAAATGTGCCTTCCCATTTTTCAAGCTTCTTGACTCACTGCATGTGCCACTTTTCCCTTAGATCACATTTGGGAAGCATAAAAAAAATTAAATTTTCCTCCTCCTCCTCCTCCTACCCCCTATAAAGATTCTCAATTCTCTTGGAAGTAAGAGGTAGGGTAGACAGCTTTTGCCAGACATCTTTAATAAGATTAAGCAATCAGATCAGGAGAGAAAACTCTACTGGCAATGCCATAGTACACTGGACCATATAGGCGGTGGGACCCACTTCAATTTGATATAGTAACTTCATGCTGCAAAGCATCAAGGACTTGGAAGTTTCCTGAGAGGCGTCTGTACAGAGACTAATGCCTTGCAGCTCCCACAGAACTTAGCCCCTCCCAGCCACTTCCTCAGTCTTCATGAAAAATTGTCATGTCTGATGGAGCCTTTATTTCTCAGCTGTGATTAAAAGCTCCTGAGAGAACTCTGATCAAATCCCCTCAGAATTCCCGCAGAATGAATTTTTGTAGACTTCTGGAGTTGTAATTAAAAAAAATTAAAATCTCAAGCCTGCACTTCCATTTGTAGTTAAGGGAAAGCAAGAGAATTTATGATGAAAAGAAAATGTAATTCTCTACCTTATACAGATACACTTAGAGCTAAGGGAATTCTCAGAGATAAAACTACTGTAGTGTCATTCCTTGGTCTAGTACAGAAGTCAGCATCACACCCAAGAAGCCTAGTATTCTCTCCTTGCTCTGTCAAAGTTATCTTTAAAGGCAACCACCTTAAGACCAGTCATCACAGTACAACAGGAGAAAACTTTGATCCACCAGCAACTGACGAAATGGTAAGATTAAGATGCAAAAGCAAACCATGACATGAAAGCTGTTGTTGCTTAGCAAATAAGCCAAGCATCTTTCCAGAGATATACATCAAGTTTAACAGGCTATCTGGCAAAAATGTAATATTTAGAGCTTTGAAATCCCAGGAAGATGTAAAGACATGTAACTTCTGCTACTTGAACACATTACCCTCCTCAATTTACCTGCCTACAGCATCATTCTCCCTTAAACAACAGCAATGAAAGCAAAAAAGTTTACGAACATTTTTCTCTCCATCTTATTCTTAGAATAACTGAAAAATAAAAATAAGATCCAAGCAGGGAAGAGGAGAGCAAGGAAGGCACAGTCAAGGTACTGCTCCCTCACTCAAAAAGATGGTGTGCATTACTTCTATCTCACAAAAATACAATCTCAGATGCTAGATTTAGCAGCCAGGATGTATGCGGGGGATTTAAACTTCAGGAATACAGCACCATTTGAGGGCAAGAGGCACAACAACAAATGAAATAGTTTATTTCAGTGAACATAATTCAAATGGAGCACTGAACAACTTAAAGCAAGACCATTTTTATCATGTGAAGATAAATATAATCAACATAGAATTTATACTGAAAACTATTCCCTACAGCAACACACTATACAGTGGTGCCTTGCTTTACGATTGCCCTGCATTACGACGAATCCGCTTTACGATGATCTTTTTGCGATCGCAATTGCGATGGCAAAACGATGGTCTAAATGGGGGAATTTCGCTTTGCAATTATCGGTTCCCTGCTTCAGGAACTGATTCTTTGCAAAACAATGTTTTTCTAACAGCTGATTGGCGGTTTCAAAATGTCCACCGGGTAATTAAAATGGCTCCCCGCTGTGTTTAGGGATGAATTCCTCGCTATACAGGCAGCAAAAATGGCCACTGTATGGAGGATCTTCGCTGGATGGTGAGTTTTTACCCCACTGGAACGCATTGAACAGGTTTCAATGCGTTTCAAAGGGGTTTTTAATTTCGCTTTACGATGTTTTCACTTAACGGCGATTTTCCAGGAACGGATTATCGTCGTTAAGCGAGGCACCACTGTATAGCATACTACTTCTTACTTATAAGATTACAGGATTCTTTCAAAGCAGGTCTTCAGGCAGCATATAGGTTGCAGCAGCAGATCTACACACACCTGTGTAGCAAGCATATACCAGTGCAAGTGTAACGGAGTTCTTCTGGACCCAGGGGGGGCACTAGTGGTAAAGGCGGGGAAGAGACACGGAGGCTCTTCATAATTTTCAACAGCAACGCGTTTATTAACAATAGAATTCAACTCTTCGGTATCAAAAGGGTCCTGCAAACAATCATCAGGCAACAAACGATACCTCTTGGGGCGCACATCTAATGGCTTCTCATAATCCCCTAGAAGGGTGCTGGTCCGAACCGCTCCCAGTCGGTCATGGGACGGAGGAGGGCACTCCACACTGCGCATACCGTGCCACAGCACGGATGCCTCGCCCAGTCTCCCTCGGGAGGCTTCTGTTGGAATTCCGGCCCAGGTTGGATTACTCTCCTCCCACCAGGGTGGTTCTGTGGGTAAACCGTGACAGTCCATTCTAAAGGTTCATATTTAGCTCCCTTCCTGCTAGGTGGTATGGGATCGGGGAGCAAACCTCCTCCTGTCACCAAATTCGGGAAACCCGTGGTAATATCGGACACTGCTCCCACTCCAAGCATGGGTTCCGTCTGCACCCCTCGGTGTATCAGTCTCTCCGGATTTGTATCAGTCCACAGATTAAAGACGCGTGTGCTTTTTTCCTCTTTTATCTCCTCCCATACTATAAGGTCCAACTCCTCCCCTCCCTCGTCAGCAAGACACACCTTCGCTGGTCTCTTCTCTATCATGTCTGCCTGCTCTATTTCAATCAGCACCCCCTCTACGCATCCCTTCTCCTCTAAGGTAGTTTCCTTTGCTGAGCACGGCGCACTCCTTGTCTCTCCTTCACAGCAAGCAGAGATTTATTCACAGGTAAATACAGAACTCACAGTCATATCCTCTTGCTTTTAAAGCTAAATGGTACAACACAGACAACATGCAATTTATCCTTTGATATGCACAAGCACATGAAAAGCGGGGATTTTTTCACTCATTCTTTTCTAGAATACAGTGATGCCTTGCAAGACAAATGCCTCACGCAACGAAAAGCTCGCAAGATGAAAATGTTTTGCGATTCTTTTGGTGACTCAAAAGACAAATTTTTCTATGGCCATGCTTCGCAAGATGATTTTTCCCCTTTTATGTGTGTTTTTTAAATCGCATAACCGTTAGTACCACGCTTCGCAAGACAACATTTTCGCAATACAACACGACTCGCCGAACAAATTAATTTTGTCTTGCGAGACATCACTGTAATTACTATATGCAGTTTATATCTTGCGTGTAAATGACTAAACTGCAACTATTGAACTTTGAAAGCATCAGGGAAGCTGGCAAAAACTGAATGCAGAGGGAAAAGAGGAAGACTGGGGATGAGATAAATTGACTTAATCAAGAAAGACATAGCCTTGAATTTGCAAGACCTGAGCAGGGCTATTGATGACAAGACATTTTACTCACCAACAAATAGGGTCAGAAGCAACCTGACATACCTTAACAGCAACAATATTGAGTGCTCACTTTTCCTGAGAACAGTTTTATAGCATTTAATCTTGTTAAATTAATTTTGTAATCAGGCAACAGTGACATGCAAAACTTGAGGAAGCAGTATGGTATTTTTTACTGAGAAAATAGTAAAACTGTAACAGAATCCAGTATTCTAGAGAGT